CTCGTCCCAGATCTGCCAGAGCCTGTTCCTGCGGGGGCTGTCGCTGGTGGGCTGGTACCACAGCCACCCCTTCGGCCCCGCGCTGCCCTCCCTGCACGACATCGATGCGCAGATGGATTATCAGCTCAAGCTGCAGGGTAGCGGCAACGGCTTCCAGCCCTGCCTGGCCCTCATCTGCGGTAAGAGCCCAGTCCCCGCGGTCCCGGGGTGCTGGGGCTGCCGTCACCCCCCGTGTCAGCCCCATCTGTCCCCCCCCAGGACCCTACTATCACGGCAACCCCGGCGTGGAGTCCAAAATCACACCCTTCTGGGTGATGCCGCCGCCGGAGGTAAGTGGTCACCAGCCCGGCAGGGGGGTATTTGGGATGGGGGTGGCCCCAGGGCTGTGGGGTGACCCCCTGCTCCCCCGTCCCCCAGCAACGGCCCAATGACTACGGCATCCCCATGGACGTGGAGGTGGCCTACATCCAGGATGGCTTCCTCACCAACGATGTCCTGCAGGAGATGGTGAGCGTGGGCTGGGGGCCCTAAAAATCCCGTCCACCGCAGCAAGGACAACGATGGGGGCTGGCTGGGCCTCCGCCACCCGTCCCCATCCTGCCATTAGCCCCGGTGACGGTGACAACCTCTTCTCCATCCCCGCCGCGCTGCCGCGGTCTCGGTGCCGCAGGGGTGGGGGGACCCTGTGCCCGAGCCCGGGGCAGCCCCAGTGCCTGCAGCCCCTCTCTCCCCCCACCCCAGACGCTGCTGGTGGAGTTTTACAAAGGAGCCCCCGACCTGGTGAAGTTTCAGGAGCTGTGGAGTCAGGATCAGACCTACCTGGACAAGCTGAAGGTGAGGAGGGGGCTTCCTCCCCTGGGCTGGGTGGGGAGGGGGCTCCACCCACAGCATCGCCTCCAGCCACCCCACTGTTTTAATTAATTGGGCTGCGTCCCCCTCTCAGGGTTCCCTGGCCTCCCGCACCCCCAAAGACCAGAGCTTCACCCACGTCCTGGAGCAGATCTACAGCCTCCTCAAGCTCAGCAGCTGAGGGGCCGGACCCCCCCTTCGACTCGGACCAGGTGCCTTCCCAGCAGCCAGGGCTCGGCTCGGCAGCCCCCCAGCCCGAGGGGTTCATCCAGAGCCGGCGCGGGGACACCGCATCGCCCGCTGCTCCAGGGAGCTCGCCCGAGGGGTCCCGGCCCCCCGCCGGCTCCTGCCCTGCCCCGGTGTCCCCCGGGGAGGGTGGCGGCGGTGGTGGTGGGAGTCTCGGCTGTAAGTTGTTTGTGGAAGTGGTAGTTGATTAAAGAGCAGTTCCTGAGAGGCGGCCAGCGTGCAGCCCCGCCAGCTTGGGGACATCCAGCTAGTGCCGCGGTGAGGGACGGCGGCCTCGCGGGCTGCAGGCACCATCTGGCCTGGGTTTGGGGGCTGAATTAGGGGGACGTTCATCCGGGGCTGCTCCTCCATCCCACCGTGGCCCCCGGGAGCCCGGCCTCGCGCTCACAGAGAGGACGCAGCCGTTAGAAAGAAGAAAACATTTAATACTTTCATTCAGAGATACAAGTCGAGATTTGTGGGTCGTCTTTTTTTCCCCTAAAAACCAGGAGAAACCATTACAAAAAAAGGTCTAGCAAGTCGTCCCAGCTGACAAAACGCATTTCAATCCACCTGAGCAGGAGCCGCCATTCCTGGGATGTGACCCCGGTCCCCACCAGGGAGGGGACAGAGGGGAGGGCCTCGAGGACACGGGTCCCTTGGGCTCCCTGCGCTGCCGGGAGCGAGGGGGAGCTGCCCCGTGCCCCCCGCCTCTGGGACCGGGGTCAGCCCGCTCGGAGCGCAGCGCGGCAGAGGATCGGACAAACATCGACATGCACGGTTAAAATCATCAAAAAGGGGCTGTGTAACTGTAACAGGAGCTGGGAGCAGCAGGGACAGGGACGTGCTGCGGCACAGGCCCGGTGCGGAGCTGGGGCTCGGAGAGGTGCCGGAGCCCAGCGAAGGCTGAGGAAGGAGAGTGGAGAAGAAACCACTTTTCTAGCATGAAAAACCACGGAGTCGAGTGAGAGACAGGACAAACGCTGCCACTGCCAGGCCCCATCCTGACCCCCATAACAAGGAATGCGGGGGAAGGCCAGGGGCTAAGGGGCGGCAGGAGCGGTGCCGAGATGCACGATGCCTTTTCCCACCCAACCCAGCGGCAGAGGGGCACATCGCTCCCCCGCAAGGAGGGTGGCTGCGGGGCAGGGGGCTCAGGAAAGGCACGTGAGGATCGGCCAAGCCCCGGTCCCGCAGCTCCCTGGGGAGAGTAAGCGCAGAGCCAGGACCTGCTCTGCCCTACCGTGGGCAGACCCCGGGCCGTGGCCCAGTTCCCCCCCCTCAAATTATCCCCCAGCTCTGATGGAAAGTTTGTTGTAGTAGGAAAAGCCCCAGGTCCAGAAGCAACCTGGCTTAAAATACTTAAAATCAAGGGCAGAAGGGAGCAGCCACCCCCTTTGGAGTCGAGCTCTGCGGGGAGGGGGCAAAGGGCTAACGGGAGGCAGGGGACATCCCTGCCCTGTCCCTCCAGGGCGGGGAGGGATGGCACAGAGCCCCAGGCAGGGCTCAGCACCCGCGCCACGGGGCTGGCTTAGTGTTTGATGGGTGTCGTAGTGTTGCTGTGCCGCAGCATCCCTCCCTTGAGCCCCCGGGAGCGGGGAGAGCCAGGGTCCCGCAGCGGTGTTGGGCTGTAGGGAGGCTGGGCATCGGCAGGGAGAGGGGTAGTGTTCAACGGGGTGGGGGTCGAAGGTTTTGCCCCCTGCCACTGGGCCGTGCGTCTCCCCACGCTGATGCTCAGCGTGAAGGATGCATCCCGGCTCTCCCACCTGGCTCATCCGGATGCTTGACCCAAAGGAAAGACAAAAACTAGACAGGGAGAGGCCCGCGACAATTGTACAGCCGGGGGGGACCTGGCAGGGTGCGCAAAGTACCGAAGTTCAAGCACCAGAAGGACAAAAAAAAACCAAACAAACCCTAAAATAACCAAATTCACGAGGGGTGTGGGGGCCATTCGACCCTTCTGGCTTGTTCCCTGGTGGCAATCTCGCCCCGAGATGATGCAGCGATAACACAGCCCCGCCTCTGGAGAGGGCCAGTGTCAGGATGGAGGTGGAATGGAGGCTCGGCCCCGCGCGAGCGGAGGGGGGACGGGAGCGATGCCGTTTCACTGAGGTAGCGGAACCAGCACTTCCACGTAGTTAAGGGGGAAGAAGCCCGACTGGCCGTTGATCATGCCCTCGTACCAGTTTTCGTCGATCTGGTTGGTCAGGGTGATGATGTCGCCTTCCTTGAAGCCCAGCTCGCCATCATTTTCGGGTTCGAAGTCATAGAGGGCCTTGCAGCAGGGCTGGTCCAGGGGGGCTGCAGGGAGAGGCGGGGGGGGAGAGGTGAGCCGGACCCCCTGCACACCCCCTTCCTCAAGCCCCCGGCTCTGCCGACACCGGGGATTCCTGCCGCTCACGCTGGCGGACGCCAGATCCGGACACAGCGCAGGATCGTTGGCTCTGCCAGAGCCAGGGCTCGCACAACTGGTTTCCCAACCCGGCTCTGCCCTGCTCGGGAGGAGCTGGCCCTTCACTTTGCCCCCACGATGGTAAAGCATTAACTCAGTTTAAACTCCTCACTGGGTTTTCGCTCACTAGTGCCTCTGCCATCTTGCTGCAACCACGTCCTTCATGAGCTTCTCCCAAAGCAGACTCCCACCTCCGGCACCCCGTGCTGCCTGTTCCTGCCTGCACTTCCCCTGCTCTAAGCTAAACTCCAACCTGAATTAGATCAGGAAAGCCACATTATTCCTCCAGAGACGAGAAGCTGCCGTGCAGTTCATCAGTTAGTCACCGATGGGGCTGGACACCAGTACGTGGGACCCTGGGGGTCCCTTTAGAGGGGTCACCCTGAGCCTGAGGGTGACGGGAGGGAGAGGACGGCGCCTGCCTCCCGGGGCAGAGGGGTTCAAATCAATTAGGAGCTTGGTGACACATGCGAGGCCCCCCCAAAAACAGGGAGAAAACCAAAGTCCCTTTCCCACATCTCAGCTCCATGATTTAAGCACCAGACCTTTTGATGCAAAGGGGATATTTTTATAGCAGGGAAAGCTGCTGCTGGCTCTGTCTACGCACTGATGTTTTGGGATGGGCAGGCACTCAGCTTTGCAGCCGTAGGGATCCTACTGAAAAGGGACCGAGCTAACAGAGCCCACCAGGGTCTGCAGGGCCCCCGTTCCCCTCCTGGCTGCTCCAGAGCCTGCCTGGCTCTGTGCTAGAGCTCTTCCAACCAGGGCAGGGGGAACAGCACGAAGGGCAGCCAGCACATCTGGTCTGCTGAACATCCACGGCAAGGAAAGACCCAGCATTAGAAGAGAACTCGGAAAACACCAAAAGCGGCAGCCAAGCAGGTTCATGTTTTTGAGACAACTTCCCAAAATACCAGGCTGGCCCCACCACCACAGCACCTCCCCTGCACCAGGCTCCTCAAGCCCTCCTGCCCCACTGCTGCACCACCAGGAGCTTTCCCCGGCGCGATGCCTCCGAGCCACAGACCCAGCCTAGCCCCGGGACCCCAGCGGGACCCCCCCGGTCCCTTTAGCAGGAATACTGACCTGCAGACCCCACAGTCACAACCCATCCACGGCTTCTCGCTGCCCAGCTGGGGCCACAAAACCCTCTCGGCGTGCCTAGGCTCTACCCGCTCCCCCCAGCCTTCAGCAGTGGGGTATGGGGGGCCAGCACAAGCAGGAGTGGGAGAGATCCAAGCTGGGTGCTCATAATGAGAACGGGTAATCCTCAGGATGTCTGATACCTCGTGGAAGAGCATCTGATCCCTGTGGCCTCACGCAGGCAGGAATGCTGACCTGCAGACCCCACAGTCACAACCCATCCAAGGCTTCTCGCTGCCCAGCTGGGGCCACAAAACCCTCTCGGCGTGCCTAGGCTCTACCCGCTCCCCCCAGCCTTCAGCAGTGGGGTATGGGGGGCCAGCACAAGCAGGAGTGGGAGAGATCCAAGCTGGGTGCTCATAATGAGAACGGGTAATCCTCAGGATGTCTGATACCTCGTGGAAGAGCATCTGATCCCTGTGGCCTCACGCAGGACATGCCTGCATGACGATAGCTGCTACAACTCCTCCGGGTGAGCAAAGGCCCCAGCTTTGGGGTGGTAAATACCAATATAGCGTGGCTGTTTTAATTTGGGGCTTAGCTCAAGGCTTAGCTCAGCTTAACTGGGGTGTTCTGCTGGCCAGGCTCAGCACAGAGGGATTAGCGGCTCCAAGCGGCAGCGTCACAGAAGGAGGAGTGAGGAGGGATGGGGAGAGATGGTCACACATCATGCAGTGTGGAGGGAGGAAACTCACGGATACTCCTGACGGAGGCCCGGGACGGCTTGTCGGATCGGAAAGAGGAGGAAGCTGCTTCCAAACAAAAAGAGACATGCTTAAAACAACGTGAACTGGAGAGAGGGAAAGGCAGGGCCTAAAGGGAGGATCTGTTAGGAGAAACAGGGCGGCCCACATGCTGTGTTAGAAACCCGCCTGCCCCGCCGGGACCAGGGAGGGACGAATGCAGCATGATGGAAGACGGGGAGGGAGCGAGAGATGCTTCATTTTTCCTGTCTGCCACTGCTGGCGCTGACTGGGCACTACAGGCGAGCGGCCTGGGCTGGAGACCCCGCTGGGACATCCCCAAAGCCAATATAACAAAGGCTGCTGGGCCCCAAGAGAAAACAGCCCAAGTCTTGAGGCATTTCTGACTTTTTCAGAGCCCGTGCAGGCACATCCAGCACACCAGAAATATCATTTCCAGGCATTCCCCTCCATCCCCAGGAGGCTGCTCCAGAGGGACCTGTGTGCACACACACGGGACAACGTTACCTGAGACTTTGGGGGTAGGATTGCAAGAGAAGCCCCCGTTAGATTGGTCAGTGTCTCCGAAGTCATACGTCTCCCTGGGTTTGGGCTTGTATTCCCGCTTGGGACGCGAGGAGGCCTCCCTCATTCTGGAAGACGGAAAAGAAATGTGGA